AGGCAGTCTTCCATTTGTTTAACAACCATTTGAAATTACAACAGCACTGAAAAAAGGTTATTTATGAGCAGTCCTCACACTTATGACTATCACAGAGTCCTTGTAGTCAAAATTCAGACACTTGACAACTGACATGTATTTATGATCACCACGACGTAAAAAAGATGTTGAGACTCTAGAAAGAGTGCAGAGAAAAGCAACCAGGATGATTAGGGGCTGAAGGCTAAAACATATCAAAATGATTGCTGGAATTGGGTACGTCTAGTCTAAAGAAAAGAAGGACTGGGGGAGGCATGATAGCAGTGTTCCAATATCTCAGGGGTTGCCACAAAGAAGAAGGAGTCAAGCTATTCTCCAAAGTACCTGAGGACAGGACAAAAAGCAATGGGTGGAAACTGATCAAGGAGAGAAGCACCTTAGAAGGAGAAATTTCCTGGCAGTTAGAACAACTAATCAATGGAATAACTTGCCTCTGGAAGTTGTGAATTCTCCAGCACTGGAAGATTTTAAGAAGAGATTGAATAACCATTTGTCTGAAGTGGTGTAGGGTTTCCCGCCTAGGCAGGGGGCTGGACTAGAAGACCTCCAAGGTCCCTTCCAACTCTATTCTGATTCTGAACTTCTTGAGGGGGAAACCATTAAATCTGCTCCCAGGCCACTGTCATTAGGGTTTAATCTAAAAGAGGGCAATAATGTCTGGAATCCTTGAGCAAAGCTTGGAAGAGAGGCCTCCATGGAAATCCAAGGCTAGACTGAGGAGAAAAACAGTGGAAAGACACTGGCAAACCACACTGGACTTTTTTGAGTAAACTATACACAGGTAGATCTCAACCTATGACCACAATTGAGCCCAAAATTTCTGTTGCTAAGTGAAACATTTGTTAAACAAGTTTTGCCCCATTTTATAACTTTTCTTGCCACAGCTGTTAAGTAAATCACTGCAGCTGGTAAATTAGTAACGTGGTTGTTAAGTGAAACAGGTTTCCCCATTGACTTTGCTTGTCAGAAGGTCACAAAAGGGGATCCATGACCCCTGGACACTGCATCCATCATAAATATGAATTATGTGGCTAGCTGTCAGGATTCCGGCAGTTACCCCCATTTAAATCATGAGTCTCGAGCCAAACTTCCAAAACTTCAAAAGGATTTATTGGGAGTTAAAATGTCCAGCACTGCCTGGGTATAGCTGACTCTCAGACTCATAATTCATTGTCACCCTTGACCCTGGTTTACCCCCACCTCTGGGTGTATCGTAATTCATATTCTCCAATGGGACACATCCATAGCCAAGAGTCATCAATCATGTTCTCCAGTTAGAATTTTGTGCGGCAGAAATTTCAGTCACCTAGTTACTATCCTTGAAAACTATTAATGGAATGCACTTTTGGTTTCCAAGTTGCCACACTGTCCCCACCCCCCTCTCTGTTGGCAACTCTAAAAAGACCATAGAAATATTTTATGAGTTGACATATGAGTCAGTTGCCAAGTGACTGAATTTTGATCATGGGGAAGCTGCGATGATCTTAAGTGTGAAAAACTGTCGTAAGTCACTTTTTTCCAATGATGTTCATTCATTGAGCCACGATGGCACAGTGGTTAGAGTGCAGTACTGCAGGCTACTTCTGCTGACTGCCAGCTGCCTGCAATTTGGCAGTTCAAATCTCACCAGGCTCAAGGTTGACTCAGCCTTCCATCCTTCCAAGGTGGGTAAAATGAGGACCCAGATTGTTGGGGGCAATAGGCTGACTCTGTAAACCACTTAGAGAGGACTGTAAAGCATTATATAAGTCTAACTGCTGTTGCTATTGCTATGTTGTAACTTTGAACGGTCACTAAATGAACTGTTGTAAGTCAAGGACTATAGAATGTGTTATTCTTTCCATTTTGATCAGATCTGCTGTGTCCCACATGCACACAGAACATGTTTTTTCGTGTGCACATATGCATGGCTTTGGCTGACTTTTGATCACTGTCTCCCCTTGCTTCCCTCCCTCCCTCCTTCACACAAATCTTCACTTGTTTGTGGATCCTCTGTGGCCTGTGTAGTAATTAAGTCTGACACGAAGGAAGAGAATTGACCTTTTCATCTCCCCCTTTTTAAAAAAAATAACAATAAACCAAGAATCTAATTGCAATAGGTCAGCAAAGAGAAACTGACAAACCTTCATCAAAAGAGAAAAGTAATAATGCCAAAGACCCTCCATTTCCAAAAGCTAGTAGTTATGGGCTATTTTTCCCTCTTGGAAGATAAATCCTAAGCATAATTCTGGGGCAGTAGTGAAGCTTTGCTTAACGTAGTGCGCTTCATTTAATGTGATAAGATTTGGATGCTGCAATTTTATTCATATTTATCTGAACACCCCTGTTCAATGCATTTCTTTGACTGCTTGGACTACTAGCCCTTCAAAAATATATCTAGATAAGACCAGTTTATTTTGCGATTACTGTGTTTGGTTCACCAAATAGCACAGGGTCAGACAGCACTGCGCTTTGCTCTAATACTTTCAGAGTCTCCCACCAGGCCTTCCAACCTTTCTCTCTAGCTATAGAAAATCCACATGGTGGAGTAGGGGGAGAACAGCTGAAGGCAAAATAGCTGCAAAAGGCCTTTGGATTCATCGCGTTGGGAACAGTGGTGGGATTAAAAATTTTTTTTACTACCGGTTCTGTGAGCGTGGCCTTGGTGGGCGTGGCCATGTGACTGGGTGGGCATGGCTTTTTTTGTGTGTGTGCTTTTTTTTGTAGCCACCCCCCACCCGCTTTTTGCATCTTCTGAGCCTCAGAGGAGCCTCTGGGGGGGCTTTTTGCTCCCATAAGGCTCCTCTAAAAGGAAGAAAAAAAACAGCATTGGGAGGAGCATGCAACACCCCTCCATCCTCCATTTTGGGAGCTTCCTGGCCTCAGAAGAGCCTGGGGGGGGGGCGTTTTTGCTTCCATAAGGCTCCTCTGAGGGTCAGGAAGGCAAAAAAATGGAGGGGGGTGGAGCCATTTTTTGCCTTCCTGGGCCTCAGCAAGGGGAATGCCGGCACAGCTGATCGTATGTACAGCTGATTGTTGGGAGGGGAAAAAAAAAGAAAGAAATACCTCAGGCAAACGTCAGGCGGGTGAGCAAGCATCGGGTGGGCGGGCGACCGGGTTGGCGTGGCCAGCCAGAACTTACTATCGGTTCGGCGACCCACACCAAATCCTTGTTTGCCCGATCCTGTGCGAACCGGCTGAACACCACCACTGGTTGGGAACCTACTGTTAAAAACATTGCTTCATATTTTTTTTAATTTTGCATTTCCTCTCCACCTGCCGACTTTTAAAAAGTCAAAATAATCTACAGGTAGTCCTCAACTGACCACAGTTCATTTAGTGATTATTCAAAGCTACAACAGCGCTGAAAAAATGTGACTTACGACCGTTTTCACAGTTATGCCCTTTGCAGTGTGTCCATGATCATGTGGTCAGAATTCAGAGGCTTGGCAATTGATTCATATTTATGACCTTTGCTGCGTCCCAAGGTCACGTGATCCCTTTTTGCGACCTTCTGACAAGCAGAGTATTCAGAGTTTTGCAGCATTAATTCAGCGCCAGAAAAAAAAAAACACAGATGGCTGATGCTTCATTTAACCTCTTTATAAACATAATAAGTAGATTTTACAAACCAGCTGTAGATTTCTCCAACATGGAGCAAACTCAGACAGAAACATGTTGCAAGTAACTTCCGTAGCAACTCAGGAGCTCAGAAACAGACATCAGTTTCACTTTAGTTCAGCAGGCAAGCATTACAAACAGCAGAGGAGAGAAGCAGTTTCATTTTCAATAGACAGACTCAGAGCTCAACATAGCTGCAGAGCTTAATATAGAACCACACCTAGGCTACTTTTAGTTTCAGTTTCCAGCCTAGGCTAATTCTAGTTTCAGTTTCCAAAACTGGCTGATTTAGTTGCTATGCCTATTCATAGGCTGACCTTGTTACCAAGCTCTATTCCAGTTCATGAATATACTCTGACACAGAGCCAATGGGGAAGCCAGATTTACCTAAAAACGGGGTTACTAGCTGATCAGCTGCAGTGACTCACTTAACAACTGTGGCAAGAAGGGTCGTAAAACAGGTCCAAACTCACTTAACAAATTGCCTCACTTAACAACAGAAATTTTGGGCTCAATTGTGGTCGTAAGTTGAGGATTACCTGTACCAAGAGAGAAAAGCCTTATTTAGGATCCTTTAATTAGTCCAAATAAAAACAATGTTTATTTATTATTGGTGAATTTTTCTAATGAGACAACTCAGCTAGTATGATTTCTGTCCCTTCTAGTTAGTATTCATCCTAGCAAGATTCAAAGACGTTCTTCTTGGATACTTGCAAAATAAATTTGGAAATGGAGCATGTGTTTGCACTAATCCAAACATCTTTATCTGGAACAGGAAATATCATCCTTCAAAGTTTCTTGCTGAGGATGCAACTTCCAATGGAGCTGATGAAGACAACCTAGCTTTTCTGGGAGCAAGTTTATAGTCCTTCGGGAGCAAGTTTCCTGATATTCTTATAGTCCTTCAAAATTAAATTGATTTTTTTTAAACTTTTTTTTTCAAAGTAAATTTTTATTAGTCATATTTTCACCATAACACCACGTTTCCACTCATTACAGTGTTCTGGTATCGGTATTCATTCATGTTGACATAGCTTCTAATTGTATAGATTACTACTCTATATATTATAAAATGAATTCTACATTTAACTTAAAACAATATTTACAGATATATATGTATATATAGTATAGCTCCTACATATTCTTCATGCAACAATTTTACATCTGTTGTCCAACTAGTTATATCATATATTCCAGATCTAATAGTATTCCATTTCTTCTCTATTTTTTAATTCTATAGTTAACCTGTCCATCTCTGCACACTCAAGAACCTTTTTTATTATCATTCCATCAGAAAGAGTGTTGTCTTGTTTCCAATTTTGAGCAAAAGCAATTCTGGCCACGGTTATTACATGGAGTATAATGTATTGAAGTTTTTTGCAGGTATTTTGTTTTAATATGCTCAATAAAAATAGTTCTGGTTTCATCTCAATTTTTTGTTTAGTGATTTCTTCTAACCAATTCTTTATTTTAAGTCAGCATTTCCTCGCTTTTGGACTTTTTTTTTTACTATTAAGCTACATGCCAAGCCCTATAATCCAGGACATTGCATGGACATACAGGGCCAGAAAACATGGCCCACTTCTGACTTGAGAGAGGCCCTTGATCCTCTCTGAGCTTGGTTATTTTCTTCCAGACCTTTCATTATCAAGTAACATCATCAATGCTAGTCAGTGATGATGTTACCTAGTTTGGGTAATGAAATGTCTGCAAAATAACAACCAAGCTCAGAGAGCACCAAGGACCCCCTCATTTTAACTCTGATATATTCTCATTTATTGGAATCCCTGTCATGCAAAGAAGTCTTTGGATCCATGTATTTATATGAAATATACAATACAGCTAGTTAGTCCTTGACTTATGATCACAACTGAAATCAGACTTTCTGTTACTAAGTAAGGTGGTTGTTAAGTAAGACATATCCATTTTTACAGCAGTTTTTTATTTTGCCTTGGTTACTAAGCAGATCATTGCAGTTGTTAAGTAAACCACGGAGTTGTTATTGAATCTGGTTTCCCCCATTGCTTGTCGGAAGCCATCTGGGAAGGTTGCAGAAGGTGATCTCATTACCCCAGGACACTGCAACTGGCCATAAAATATGCCGGTTGCCAAGCCGCCAAATTTTGATCACATGACCATGAGGCTGCTGTGGTGGTCATAAGTGCAAGGAATTATTGTAAGTCATTTTTTTCAATGCCATTGTATCTTCGAAAGGTCACTAAACAAATAGTTGTAAGTCGAGGACTACCTGTAATTGAATTTGTTTGAATATCTAATGCAGGGATGTCAAACTCAAGGCTCGTGGACCAGATCTGGCCCATAGGTGCTTAGATCTGGCCTGCGGGGCCATCCAGGAAACAACGAAGGACTGGCCCATGGTTCCTCTGCTAGAGAAAATGGAGTTCGGGAGGGCTGCATGGCCTGGCTCCTTTCTCGGCAGCTCCGAGCTCCGTTTGCTGACAAAGGGCTGCAGGAGGCCATCGCAGCCAAAAACGGTGCTCAGGGGGCCACCTGCAGCCCCCCCAGCTCGGTTTTTGCTGGCAGAGGGCTGCAGGAGGCCGTCATAGCCAAAAACAGAGCTCGGGAGCCTGTTTTCTCTGGCATGGCGCTCGGGCCACCACAGGCGCCCCCAATACGAGTGATGTCAAGGTGGCCACGTCCACCCTGGCCATGCCCACTCCAGGCCCCCAAGGTCAAACACAGCCCTGATGTGGCCCTCAATGAAATAGAGTTTGATTACCCCTGATCTAATGTTTTAGAACATTAAAGGTTTTCATGAAGAATATGAGTATCTAATTGAAAAGATGGGGAGAAAAACAAATAGAAATACTATTTTCCTACCTTTCCTCTGGGCTATTTTCACAATTTATTCTTCTTGGACTCTCTGTTTATACTTTTCTACAGAATATTTGAAATGGGTAAAGTAAATTGATATGGTGAGGGAAAGTTTCTTTACCGAATCCTTCACTCTGATTGAATGTTATCTTCACTGTTTGACAAGAAGATCCGTCTCCTAAGCAAACTCCACACTGATCTTCAGTGGCATTGGAATTAATTTCATAATCACAGCCAACAGTCTAAAACAAAAAAAGGCATTATCAGAATAAATGTTATATGCATTTGTTAGGATTAATACATCTATTTTTTTTCTTTAAAATATCAATTACCTATAAATTAAAAATACTCTTAACTCCTATTAACCCATGGAGCTCATATATATGTCCCAAAAGTGCTTTTTCAAAAGGCAACTTGAACTGCTGAAAAAGCATCTTTGGTACAACCATGTCCTGAATGACTGAGAATCTCCGTAGACATGGAGCTCATATATGTTTAAAGGAGTTTTGATGAAGACAAATAATATTCTCCAGTGGTGGGATTCTGGGATTCAAATTTTTTACTACCAGTTCTGTGAGCGTGGCTGGGTGGTTTGGTGGGCCTGGCAGGGGAAGAATACTGTAAAATCTCCATTCCCTCCCCACCAATGGTGGGATTCAAATTTTTTTACTACCGGTTCTGTGGGTGTGACTTGGTGGAGGGGGGTCATGGCTTGGTGGGCATGGCAGGGGTAGGTTACTGCAAAATCCCATTACCTTCCCAGCCCAATAATCTGCTTTCCAGTTCTGTTCTCCTGTGCAGGGCAACAAAAGAAGACCTTGCTGTAACTCAGGAGGCAGAGAATAGATGGGGGCGGGGCCAGTCAGAGGTGGTATTTTCCAGTTCTCCGAACTACTCAAAATTTCCACTACCGGTTCTCCAGAACTGGTTGGAACCTGCTGAATACCACCTCTGATTTTCTCCCAAGTCAGAGGTGGTATTCAGCAGGTTCTGACCAGTTTTGGAGAAGCGGTAGCGGAAATTTTGAGTAGTTCGGAGAACCGGCAAATACCACCTCTGACTGGAACTTTTACAGTATCCTTCCCCTGCTACGCCCACAGAACCAGTAGTAAAAAAAAAATTGAATCCCACCACTGTCCCAATCCATCACCACTCTGACCAGTTGAAGCATGTTAGTAAGTTGGAGAAAATATTGCAGATGGTCCGGTTATATTCCTGATTTTGAACATGCCAAACTCAACAGCAAACTTCAGAAATGTGTATAGCATAGATGGTGGTGTTAGCACTGATGATGTTACCTAGTCTGCAAGAAAACAACCAAGCTCAGAGAGCACCAAAGACCCCTCATTTCAACCCTGAGCTGCAGATATTCTCTTTTATTGATGCTGTATAGCATCCTGCAGAAAAACTATACTACTTTTTCCCTATTAGTTCTCATGCAATACGTTGGTCTTAATGTTTGTCTCATTTAGCTTCAATGTGCCCTTGCTTTGCATTGCACTTATGTGGTTTACATAGAGAAGCTATCGGTGTATGATGTAATGAGGGGCTTTGTTCTTTAGCCAGTTAGTTTGTTGGGGAATGGGACAACTTGCCACAGCCAACTTACGGTAGCCAATTCATCATGGCCAACTCACCATGGCCAACTTGCCACAGCCAACTCATCACAGTCAACTCACCACGGCCAACTCACCGTGGGACAACTCGCTGTGGAACAATTTAACAATTCTATTTAATTATTTAAGATACATAAACATTATTTTAATTTTTGCCATTCATATATCATTCTGTCCCTCCTTTTGCATCCTTTCTTTAATGATTCTATTCTACCATTTCTTTGATATTATGTAACTCTTGTCCCGCACTGAGTTGTCCTGTGGCAAGATGGCTGTGGCAAGTTGTCTTGCAGTGTGTTAGCTGTGGCAAGTTGACTGTAGTGAGTTGGCCATGGCGAGTTGGCTGTGGTGAATTGTCATAGACCCTAGTTGCTGAGCCTGGCTCTCATTAGAGGAAGTGACTGATCCAAAGTGGCTTCCATAATTAAGGAAATGCTAGATCACCCCACTCCTAGTCCAGCACTTTAACCATTATATCACTCTGGGTTTCACTTTTCAAAGTAGAAAGAAAAAAAAATGCTACTGAAAGACCTTTTTTAGAAAGAAGAGAAATTCTTATGTTCTTGTATATTTTCAAGATGGCCAAAGGATTGTTTTCCTCTTTTAAATGGATATTTGGCTTTTTAGTCATCTGCAGCTTCAAACATTTTCATTAAGAGATTTACAAGAGAACCCTTCATTCTCTTGAGGCTTTTTTAGACTGGGTGTGTGAGGAATATATTGGATGACACAATATACTGCATGACTATCAGAAGAATGATGCTATCTCCACACATTTTCTTTCTTTCTTTCATCTTTCCAGGAATATTATATATGGTCAGAGTTAATAAAAAAAAAAGGCATGAGGTGTCTTCCTATGATGCCCCAGGATGGCAGCCATAAAATTTTAAACTTAATTTTAAAAAAGGTTAACTTGCAAAATGTTGATGCTTTCACAGGAAACTGACCTTAGGGTGTAAAGCTAATCAACCATCAGCTTTCAGATAAGAATGCAGGAAATATTAGCTTCCTCATGTCAGATTGTGTACTTTTATGGATAAAATCAACAAAACCTTTCAAGATTTGCCTGATAAGTTCTGAGTTTTTGTTGATTGGTTTAATGACTTGGTATCTTGGAATTTCAAATTATTGGACAGTCCAATATATCAGGTTTTATATTAATAAGTTACCAGCTTTCAGATATTTCTTGACTCATTAGCATTTGTTCATAAATACTTGAATTAGTAGTCTGTGTCAATTACTAGATTATTCAGATGTCAAATCTTTATTTCAAACCAAAGAACAGTTATGGGTTATACAGTTATACTTATTCAAGTATTTATGAACAAATGCTAATGAGTCAAGAAATATCTGAAAGCTGGTAACTTATTAATATAAAACCTGATATATTGGACTGTCCAATAATTTGAAATTCCAAGATTCCAAGTCATTAAACTAATCAATCTGAAGAGAATGACTTTTATTCTCAGTAAGCATTACCAATATCACAACTTAAAATCATACAAAATAAAGTTATGATTATCTTATAAACTGCCTTCCAGATTTATGCTTCTGCTGCTTCATTAAGAAGTTTGAAACTCTAACTCTTTTTGACAATCATCATCTAAAATAATGAGTGTATTATTATTATTAGAACTATTATGGTAGTTTTGCAATGACAAAAATAGGCAGACTCCCTCTTTGGGTCATCAGGAAAATGTTAGTCTGGGAAATTAGAAGAATAGAATTTCTCACAGCTAGCATAAAATATTTTGCCACTTTCAGCAGACATGGATAACATTTGATGGATACAGAGCTTCAACTCAACCTTCCCATTATTTGGGGGCCATCGAAAACTTACCGAGTGAAATGGAACATCATGAAGCAGAGAAGACTTAACAATTTGCATCACTGGGGTTTTCTGCAGTTTATTGGTGTGAAAGAAAACCCCCATCCCATTCTTAAAATCATCAAATCTCCCAAATCTAATTAAACCCACCTCCACTGAACAAGCAATTTCAAATGGTTTTGAGTATTAGAATATCAACTAGCAATCTCTGATTATGTCCTGTGGACCAATTCCTAACCCTAACCCTATTTTCCATAATGAAATACTTTGTTTGAAAGTAGAGGAGGATGAAGCAATGACCTACTTAAACAGCTATTAAGACATCTTTCCATCATGATTATGGAAATATTAAGGTCAGCCTTGTGCACCACATTATTATTACTGAATATTTAATAATCACAATTCCCCAATTTTCGGTTTTTTAATCCTCCTACCAATGATAAAGTCATTGGAATATCAGTAGCTGTCTTTGGCACTCTCTAAATTACTTACTGAACTGTCTCCATTGGAAACCACAGTGTGCATATTAGTCCACTAATTAGAATTAAGCACTGTGATCATATGAAGCATGTTATCTTGCCAATGGATTTTGCTTGTGATCCTTTCTCTACCCAAATACAGTGTTACGGTCTCAGCATTAGAATACAAATGTTTCAGTGATCCTCTGCTTTTGTCTGATTATGCGATCCTGGCCACCCGATCCTATTCTTAGACAGCCTCCCATCTTTGAAGCAGAAATGTGTGAGTTTGGGCAGCTTATCTAACAAGAGCCAAGAAGCTGAGATGGGCAACTTTCAATCTTCAGAACTTGTTGAATCTTGACAGTAAAATTGCCAAAGTTCAATGATATCTCCCCACCCACCTCCCATGTTGAAATAAAAAAGACACTGAAAGAAAGAAAAGCACCAATCATCCCCTAACCCCATATTGCCTTTCAATTGCCTCTCACTTCTGAAATAATAACTTGGCCAACATAACATTGACCACCACTGACATACAAACTGGCACCAGTATATAAAGCTGTAATCTGCCTGACCCATTTTTGCAAGTTTGCAAATCTGAAGTCCCATGAAGGTTCCAGAGAAGGAAACATACCCAATACCTTACACATGCCATTAATGCAGACATCTCTGTAGCTGTTTCCTTCAAAGCAAGGTGTACCATCAATTACAGCATCTAACATCTTCTCCGAAAAATGTTGGTTTGTAGGTCGGCATTGCAGCTCACAGGGATTAGCTGGGGGAAATCCCAAATATTACATCAATAAAGCATATTTTAAAGCCACATTGTAAGGCTTTAATAATGTCATCTTTCATTTGATACTAAGGATTCAAAGCTGTTTCTAAAAATTAGTATTTCAGTGACTCGGCCAACTAAAGTCAGTTATGGTCCAGTCTTTCTGCAGTTCCTAGCAGAGACTTTACAATTGGTACAAGAAAATTGGTGTACAGTGGCACCTTGGTTGGTACCCTTAATTGGTTCCAGGAGGTGCAATGAGTACCAAAAATGATGAGTACAAATAATATGTTCCCATAAGAAATAATGTAGTGAGTCACAAGGCAACAGAACACTGCTTGTGCATTGAATACCAAACAAGCAATAAGACAAAATTTTCACGTCAAAATGTGCTGGGTACCAAATTTGATGAGTTTCGAAGCAGTTGAGTACCAAGGTACCACTGTAATGGAATGTGGGAAAGACCTTGGGATTCAGATGGTGGCAGTTCCAACTGAAGACACAGGAGAGGAGAGATGCTACCAAGGGAACTCTCAGATAAGAGACAACATAGCCCTCAGGTAGATAGTGGATGGGGCAAGAGAGTCAGGTTTACCTCACCAAAACCAACAATTGGCATGAGTCATTTTACATAATGGAACTGCCATGCTGGTGTCCTAAAACTGCCATAATAGTTGCTGATATTTACACATATTTGTAAATACTTTCCAAAACTATTTATTTTTAGCTGCATTTGTGAACAAAAAACATTATTAGCGGGAAACCAGACTGAGAATTTTAACTTTTACTGCTTAAATGTTCATACTTTGAAAAATACAATAATTGACCAGTAAAAGTTCTAAATTGTTTTTCCTTTTTCTTACCAGACAGAAAGCGTTAATTTGAGCTTACCCCCAACATTAGCTTTTAGGCATTTATGCACTCTGTTGACAAGCATGTAATTTTCTTTTATCCTTCATATTCATTAATTCACCTTTTACCTACGTTTCTTTTCATTGACCCCTCTGTCAATATTTTTTTTCCCCTCTCTTTCTTTGAAGTCAGCAACCCAAAATACAGGACTGTATAGTGCATTTCAAAATACTGAAATTGGTCTCAGAATTATGTTCCTTTTTAGTAATAAAGGAAAGAAGAGGAAAGACTTCTGGCTTTGCTCAAACCAAGGAACAGGAAGAACAACAACAGCAACACAAGAATAACCAAAAGGGGTAGTGGCAAAGAGTTGCTCCAGGAAGGCATTTTAGCTATTGAATCCAAGAATGCCCCCCAGGAAGGAATGGATTATTGGTCTTGACTTATAACCATTCATTTAGTGACTGCTCAAAATTACAATGGCACTGAAAACAGTGACATGACCGGTTCTCACACTTCTGACAATTGCTGTATCCCCACAATCACAGGATCAAATCTCAGGAGCTTGGCAAGCAAGCACCATGTATTTACAATGGTTCCAGTGTAGCCTCAACTGTAGTCCGCTCTATACTACAGATAGTCCTCAACATACAACAGTTTGCTTAGCGACTGTTCAAAGTTACAATGCCACTGAAAAAAAGTGACTTATGACTGTTTTTCACCCTTGCAACCATTGCAACATCCTCACAGTCACATGATCAAACTTTAGATGCTTGGCAACTGACTCACATTTACGACGGTTGAAGACTCCCATGTCATCTCCTTTTGCAAACTTCTGACAAGCAGAATCGATGGGGAAACAAATTCACTTAACAACCGTGTAACTGACCTAACAAATGTAGTGCTTCATTTAACAATTGTAGCAAGAAAGATCGTAAAATGGGGCAAAACTCACTTTAAAATTGTGTTGCTCAGCAACATAAATTTTGGGCTCAATTGAGGTTGTAAGTCAAGGACTACCTGTAGTAGCAATCTCCTTCTCCTTAAGGAACGATTCTTTAATGCCAATATTTTTGAGGTATTTCATAAACTGTGCCTGTATTGACAAGAAAACACTCATCTAAACGAAATCTAGATTGTTAACCAGTATTATCCACATTGTTAGCAGATTATTTTCCCTTCCCTTACCTGTATTATAAATTGGAATCCATTGGTAAAATTCGTTTTTGTAAGCAACTGTATCAAACTCACTGCACTGCATTTCACGGAAATTTGGTGTTGACTTTTGGCACCCTTTAACATTGCACATACGGTAGTGCTTCCTCTCCCCAGTGCAATACTTCCCTCCAAACTGTGGTCTAAAAATGAAGAAGTCACTTTTAAATAAAGAAATCAAACTTTTTTTTTCATCTTTTCTTTCCCAAGAGACAAATGTATATAGAATTCTTGCCTCTCATTTTATCCTCACAGGATCGCTGGGAGATAAATGCAGAAAAGAAATTACACTGAATAGGAAATTAAAGATGCTGGTTACTAAAACTGCCATAAGAGCTTCTGGTAGTTATACAAATTTGATAATACCTTCCAAAAGTCTCACTTCTTGCACTTCTGACATAACTTTGGGCCAGTCACTCTCTCTCAGCCCAATTCTCCTCACAGGGTTGTTGTGGGAAAAATAGGAGGAGGAAAGTGTGTTGGATATGATTGTCACCTTGAGTTATTTGAAAAAATAATAAAGGTGGGATACACATGAATAAATTAAATATTATAAAAATTAACATAATCCAACCACTGAACCAAACTGATGCTTTCTGAATCAAACTATAGTTTTTTTCTTCATTTTTTTCACAAGAAGCAAATTACTTTCAGGTTTTGCTTGTTTCTTAGATTTGTATTTTGCCTTTTTTTCCCCCTAGGCATTTCCACTCTAATTTTTTCAACAATACCCTTGTTAGGTAGCTTGGGCTGACAGAAAATGGCTGGTTGAAATTTAACCCAATTGGATTCGATGGCTGAGGGAATATACACATTCTTTCAGATACTATCAAAATTGGCAAAGTGCCTTTTATCTCTTCACACCAACTGTTCTATTATCTTTAAGTTGACAATGAAATTTTTAACCGGACAAGAAAAAGGAAGAAAAAGGAAGAACTAATCAAGATAGGCGGGCCTCTTTCTCTTGAATGCTACATTCTATTTAATCTATCTATCTATCTATCTATCTATCTATCTATCTATCTATCTATCATCTATCTATCTATCATGTATCTATCTATCTATCTATCTATCTATCTATCTATCTATCTATCTATCATCTATCTATCTATCTATCTATCTATCTATCTATCTATCTATCAATCTATCTATCTATCATCTACTTTAGTGCCTTTGGGTCTCTCTTGACTCCTGGCAGCTGCTTGGATAAGTCCTTTTGTCATTGCCTTTTCTTGGGGCTGAGAGAGAATGACTGGCCCAAAGTCACCCTATTGGCTTAATACCTATTACAGGACTAAAACTCAGAGTCTCCCAGATCTAGAACCTTTAACCATGATATGGGCTCTTTCCATTCCATTGGGAGTAAAGTTTTAGAAGCTACATCCCGTAAGAGATGGTCAAAGTCCCAAGTGACCAGTCCTCCTGTTTCTTCTCCCTCTATATTTCTTCTTTCTCCCTCTTTTTTCCTCCATGCTGAGAAAAGATAACCGACTTGCAAAAGGCTAGAGTTAATGGGTGAAACCTTAGAAAAGAATCTCTATTGAAATCATTCCAAAGATAGGAAATGCCACCCTTCAAGGCAGCCATTCTTTAAGTACTCTGGAACCAGACTGTTAGTTTATAAGGAGATTGAAATCTTCAGTGTTCTTACTCTGGGTTATTGCAGTGTCTTTCTGCTGCCTGAATGCCAGCTCCACATGTCCGAGTACAGTGTGACCAGGGTGACCAGGATCCCCATGCGCCATTAATTGCTTCAGGGCTCTTACCCACTGTTATGCATTCACCTGAGAAGCACCACTGAATAATAAAGCAGCAAATGTGATGGGTCAGGGGGAAAAATCCAGTTTGGCATGAAAATACATGTCTACCACAGCAGCTCCTTGGTAACTAGCATCAGAGAATTCACCTTTCATTGAAAGCCAAGGTTGAGCCCAACTGTTTATATGCAACTGAAGAGGTGTGAGATGTGCCATGCTGATCCAAAGACATTGTTGCCTGAGCAGATGGGGAAAGGATTATAGAAAGAATTCTTGTGCCTGTTGGCTTCCTCGCCCTAGCTAGCTCATAGCAGATTGGATGATGGAGAGGGACACAGTCCCCTCCTTCAAACTTTTAATGAAGTTAGGGATTTGAAAAGAAAATCCCAGTTACATAATCAATTGGATAAAGTATATAGATCGGCTAGGTCTAGAACATAGCCTTTTGCAGCCAGAAAATTTTGGAGAAGATATATTATTCAACAATTTGTTTACAGTTAGCAGGAACCCTTCCTTCCTTCCTCACCTCACCTCCCTTGGGTAAGTCAAATTGCTCCCACCCTTCCTTCCTTCCTTCCTTCCTTCCTTCCTTCCTTCCTTCCTTCCTTCCTTCCTTAATTCCTTCCTTCCTTCCTTCCTTCCTTCCTCACCTCCCTTGAGTAAGTCAAATTGCTCCCACCCTTCCTTCCTTCCTTCCTTCCTTCCTTAATTAATTCCTTCCTTCCTTCCTTAATTAATTCCTTCCTTCCTTCCCTCCTTCCTTCCAAAATGTCTTCTGGAAAAGCCCTGTTCTAAAAGGATACTCAAGCCTTCTGCAACAGTTAAAAGTTCATATACAGTAATTCTGTTCTTCAGTACAAGATGAATTGACCTAATTTTAAAAAGAAAATGTTCTCAAATGTAACCCACCAAATGGCATATGTGTACATGAGTCTCCCCTAACCTGCTGTGTGTTAGAATTATCCTGGCTGTGGCTGCTTGAAAAATTTGAATGCATCTCGGAGAAATGACTTCATTCATTATAAAATGAAGGCATAGCTTGGCATAAGAATAGTCCGCATCCGTTGACTCTGAATAAATCAAAGTTCCTGTGGAAAAAACTATTTAATATTTTATGTGAACAGTCCCGTAGACACAAAATATTAAAATTCATCTGCTCAGGTATAAAACAAACTTGGATCTTCCAGAGATAGGGGAGAGTCAGTTATTGCAATAAAAAGGCGAACTGGGGGGTGGGGGAATTAGAAAAGACAAACAAAAGAACGCTTGGTAGGTGGGAGAAGGAATCAATTATATTGCAGAAATACTTCAGCATTTGACACAAATAAATGCCTGGAACAGAGGCGAGATTCTGAAACTTTTTCATTGAGCTGTCACTGCTACCAACACATATAAAAAAACACACCTCTGATCTGCCACAGTAAGGAATTTATATTTCTACAGGAGGATGCAGGATTTGGCATCAATTTGAAAAGAGAACAAAGGTCTTGCTTCACCAGTGAAGAAAATGACAATATTCCGATGAGGATCAAGATTTCAGATTGAACTCACAACAGAGTGATTGCTGGAAGAAATGTTGAGCGAAAGCAAAGTTTAGACGCAGGAAAAGAAAATGTTGCATAAGAGGCCACCAGGGTTTGGTTTGAATTCTCACAGCAGTAATAAAACCAGACGGGAACCAAGCTACCTTTCCCATTTTTGTCTTCTCCATCTTATCATCACCTTATTCTCCCCACATCTTGTCCCATCTGCTGCAGCATCCAGTTTTGAACGGCAAGAACTCTTCACAAAGCACCACAAGGTCTGGCAAATATTCTGAAAGGACAATCATTTGAAATGTAATAATAACACAAATCAATAAACACTTTATGGAATCCCGAGAGAACGTTAGAGGGCTGAGAATTACATTTGCTTGAAAGAAACATGGATCATCCTTTGATAAATAAATGTAGGAACAAAGAACAATGAAGCAGCATTGCACCAAGTGTTCTTCCCTTGTCAACTGGGGTCAAAAAAGTCCCAATGACAGGTGTTAATGTACAGATAGTTCTCTACTTACAACCACAAATTTCTTTTTGCTAATTTGTTAAGTGAATTTTGCCCCATTTTACAACCTTTATTGACGCAGCTCTTAAGTGAATCATGGCAGTTGATAAGCTAGTAACTTGGCGGTTAAGTGAATCTGCTTGTCAGAAGGTCGCAAAAGGGGATCACATAATCTTGAGACACAGCAATGGTCATAAATCTGAATTTTGATCACATGATCATGAGGAAGCTGAAAAGGTTGTAACTTTGATAAATGATCATAAGTCACATTTTTCAGTGTTGTTGTAATTTTAAACAGTCACTAAAAGAACTGTTGTAAGTTGAGGACTACCTGTATACACCAAGCCCTGCCCCTTTATTACATGCATGCAACATGTGCAACAAACATTAAAAAGGGGTGGGGCCATAGGTGGTATGCAGCAGGTTCTAACCAGTTCTGGAGAACCGGTAGCGGAAATTTTGAGTAGTTCGGAGAACCGGCAAATGCCACCTCTGACTGGCCCCACCCCCCTCTATTCTCTGCCTCCCAAGTCCCAGCTGATTGGCTGGGTCTTCTTTGGTTGCCCTGCACAGGAGAATGGAGCTGGAAAGCAGGTTAGTGGGGCGGGGAGGAAATGGGATTTTGCAGTAACCTTCCCCCAGGAGTGGGGAGGGAATGGGGATTTTACAGTATCCTTCCCCTGCCAATCCTACCAAGCCACACCCACCAAGCCACGCCCACAGAACCGGTAGTAAAACGTTTTGAATCCCACCACTGGGCGGGGTTTTGGTTGTGCAATCATAATCACCATTTTGACTTTTTTGATGTCTGAAGATATATGTGCTTCTCAGTTCCTTCAGGAATTGGACCGGATACAACTATTTCTTAAACTTTTATTTCTTAAACTTAGTTGTTTGGCCAATTTTTTAAACGAATACAGAATAAACTCCCAGCAGAGAAAACATGGCATTTTGTTCCAATCCTATACTCGTTTCCTGTTAAGCAGCAAACATCGTCTCTTGAACTCTGGGGAATCTAGAAAGGCCCATGAAGGTATTTACATCTCATTAATGGATAGGGGCAGGGGAGAGAAAATATTTATCATCCCATTAAATCACCAAATCTAGTGTAAGCAGAATGGAAAATAGGAGGCATTTTTGCCTGAAGATTTTACATCAGTTTGAAAGGAATCTGGAACAACCCATTCCAACAATAACAACAAGTTGGGAAGTTCTGGCTCAGTATTGTAGCTGAAGCAAATTTAAGCTAGAATTTTGTTTGCTTCTTTTGAAATGCTGTGCTTGTTTCCTTAATGAAGGGAATCCTTGTCTCACCTACACCCTCATCTCCTAATTCCAGGGCCTGACCTAAAAGAGAAATTTAATGGGTTTTTTCCCCTCTCTCAGAGTAGGTTAGTCAAAAACAGCAGGCATAATTTTTTTTTCTTTTCTTCAACATAATTATCAAGATACTAGATTCCTCCCTTTTGGAGCTGAATGCACCTAAAAATCCAAGGCAGAAAACAAATGTACTCTTTTTCATTTTTTCCCATATGCCTTTTTCCAGTTTTTCAAATTATCCAAAAATATTGGTGGGGAAGGAGTTTGAAATATTTTCTAATATTATCATTTTACATGATGGTTGAATAGTTCAGATTTGAATTTAATCAGACTCCATCTGGACAAATATAATTGATCATGTGAAAAGGTAGAAATAGAGGAAGTCCTTCACTTATAACAGTTCATTTAGTGATCATTCGAAGTTACAACGGCACTGAAAAAAGTGACTTATGGCTGTTTTTTTTAATATTTAGGGCCAAGTGTGGATATCAGAAACCATGGGATGAAAGTTTAAATGTTTAGCTCATATTTCATATTTATGAACGTATCAGCAAGCTGATTACCTATACTAAGCTGGCAGGAATAGCTAACACCCAAGAAGAGAGGCTCAAGATCCAGATGGATCTTGACAGACTAGAACACTGGGCCGTATCTAACAAAATGAAATTCAATGTAGAGAAAAGTAAAGTCCTACACTTAGGCAAGAAAAACCCAAAGTACCCATATAGACTGGGTGAAACCAGGCTCAATAACAGTAACTATGAGAGGGATCTTGGAGTCTTAGTGGACAACCAGCTAAATATGAGCCAGCAGTGTGCAGCAGCAGCCAAAAAAGCTAATGCAATCCTAAATTGTATTAACAGAGGGATACAATCAAGATCAAGGGAGGTACTAATACCACTCTATAAAGCCCTAGTAAGACCACAACTAGAGTACTGCATCCAGTTTTGGTCAGCACACTATATAAAAGATGTTGAGACTCTAGAAAAGTACAGAGAAGAGCAACCAGGATGATTAGGGGACTGGAGACTAAGGCATATGAAGAATGGTTACAGGAACTGGGCATGGTTAGTCTAGAGAAGAGAAGGACCAGGAGAGACATGATAGCAATGTTCCAATATTTGAGGGGCTGCCATAGAGAGGAGGGGGTCAAGCTATTATCCAAAGCGCCTGTAGGCCAGACAAGGAATAATGGATGGAAACTGAACAAGGAGAGATTTAACTTAAAACTAAGGAGAAACTTTCTGACAGTGAGAACAATCAACCAATGGAACAGAAGTTGCACTTGGAAGTTGTGGGAGCATAATCACTTGAGACTTTCAAGAAGAGATTGGGCTGCCATTTGTCAGAAATGGTGTAGGGTCTCCCACTTGGGCAGGGGGGTTGGACTAGATGACCTATAAGGTCCCTTCCAACTCTGATCATCTGTTATCTGTTACCTTTCCAACATTTTGACAAGCAAAATGGAAATGCAATGATTCACTTAACAACCATGTTACTAACTTAACAACTGCAGTGATTCGCTGAACAAATGTAGCAAGAAAGGCCATAATGTGGAGCAAAATTCATTTAACAAATACCTCTTTTAGCCACAGAAATGTTGGGTTTGATTGTGGTTATAACTTGAGGACTACCTGCATTACGGTGTTTTAAATTCATATATAATTAAAAGGGATAAAAACAGTTAAACTGAATATTTGCCGTGTATTTCATTACTTCTACCTTCTTTTAAAATACCTTTGAGAGACTACCTGCAAACCATGAGACCCCCGGTTATTCATCCCCTTTAGGTCACATGTATCCTGTGGCAGATATGTAGGAATATTTTACTCAAGACATTGGCTTCCTCTAATCTGGCATTTGTATTGGCTATACAGCTGCCATAGTTCACAAGCAATGGGAAATTTCTGCTTCAGAGTTTGGAATCCACTGTTCTGAAGCAACATTTCTATTGTGGTTTGGTGTTCATGGCAGAATAACAGAGTTGGAAGATCTTGGTTAGTCTTCTAGTCTAGTCCTGCTCAGTCTTCTAGTCTAGTCCTGCTCAGGCAGGAGACAATATACCATTTCAGACAAATGGTTGTTCAATCTCTTCTTAAAAACTCCCAGTGTTGGAGCATTCACAACTACTGCAGGCAAGTTGCTCCACTGAGCCCTAGTCCTTCTTTTCATTAAATTAGACATAGTTCCAGCAACTGTTTTTTATTTATATGATTTAGCCTCCAGTCCCCTAATCATCTTTGTTACTCTTCTTTGCACTCTATCTAGAGTAGTGTTGTCAAATTTAAGGCCTACAGGCCGGATCCAGCCTGCGGGGTGCTTAAATCCAGCCTATGGGGCCAGCCTGGAAATATCAAAGAATTGGCCCATGGTGCCTCTGGCGGCTAAAGCAGGCCGTGTGTGCCCCCCCAGCACCTCGTTTTCACCCTCCATGGCCTCCTGCAGCACTCTGCTGGCCGAAAACGGGCTGAAAACCAGGCCAGAAATGCAGAGGTGGTATTCAACAGGTTCTGACCAGTTCTGAAGAACCGGTAGCGGAAATTTTGAGTAGTTCAAGAGAACCGGCAAATACCACCTCTGATTGGAGATTTTACAGGATCCTTCCCCTGCCATGCCCACCAAGCCACATCCACAGAACCGGTAATTAAAAAAAAAAAAGAATTCCACCACTGTGAAAATGGGCCAACAAATGGTCTGAGAAAGGATTGAAAACGGGCCCCAAACAGGCCAACAACAGGCCAAAACAGCTGGAAAACGAGCCAAAAAACATGCCCATAGCGAGCCAAAAACAGTAAAAAATGGCCAAAAAAGGCCATGCAGACCATTTTTGGCTGGCAGAATGCTGCAGGAGGCCATGGACGGTGAAAATGAGGCACAACCATTTTGGCTGGCAGGGTGTTGCAGGAGACATCCGTCTCCCTCCCCCATTGCCACCCCTCCCCCGGCCTGCGGAGGAGAACTATAATGCTGATCCGACCCCTGGAAAAGTCCAGTTTGACACCCCTCATCTAGAGCCTCAACATCTTTTTTTTACATTGTGGTGACCAAAACTGGATGCAGTATTCCAAGTGTGGTCTTACCAAGGCGTTATAAAGAGGTATTAATACCTCACATTATCTTGATTCTAACCTTTTGTTAATGCAGCCTAGGATTGCATTGGCTTTTTTGGCAGCTGCAGCACACCACTGGCTCATATTTAAGTGATAGCTCACTGTAAAGGCAAATAAAGAAGCTTTAGGATACTGTGAATCATACTCTTTAGCACTAAGCATGGTTGAGCTGGTTGTTTTGAAAGTGCTCCCTCTGCCTTTTTAACTTTTCAACTGCTCCATTTTTAATTTTGTTTTGATTCTGTATTTAACTTTGTTTTAAACTACGCTTTTTTATATGATTGTACGGTTTTATTTGTAAACCAGAGTTGCACAGGTGAGAGGGGTGGTATAGATATTTGATAAATCAATAACATAAGGATAAACTATGATCATTCCTGTTTTGTTTTAAATGACAACCCTCAATATTGGATACATGAACTTACGTCCACTTGATCGCAGAATGTTGCATTGGGTCCATACTGTAACTGACACTGGTGATGAACATCATAAATGACTCCAGGTGCAATGAATGGTGGCTTCAGATCTTTCTTCTTGGGAACATCATCCAGACAAAAGCCCAATCCATGGCTGCAATGGACATCTAGGATTAATTCTTCATAAATTATGGGGGCAGAAAGGAGCGTTCGGTATAATTGTGGGGCAATTATAGCAAAATAGTCATATTTCAAGGAAGGACAGAAATACCAACCACTCCTTATCTTCTATGTCAACCACTAACTTGGTTCCTCCTAAATGTCTTGCATTACAAGTCACTACTAGATGGTGGAGACTAAAGAAGTGGTTGATTGAATGGCTAATCTAGTGACACCAGTGAGGAAAAGGTGACTCTGCACTTTCAATAAAAATAATAAAATGGAGAAATTGATGATGGAGAAATTGATGATGGAGAAATCCTTACAAGCCTGAATGTTCATGATGGCTCTTGTGAGCCCTTACTACAAAAAAATATTATACGTAACTGTGTGTAGGATGTGAAGATACTGTTCTGTTCAGTACTGGTCAGGCAACAGCTTCATCAGAGCATCCTGTTTTGATCAGTTCTTTTTCTAATAACCTAATGAGATGATTCAGAGTACGATGATGTGATTTAAGAGGCAAGGCATAGGAAAAATGTTGATCTCAGAATATTTTGTTTAAAGCAGTAGATTAAAATTCCAAACTCTCTTTTATGGCCTCTCCTACTGCCCCAGTTCACATCAGCAAAATTCAATGTCAATTAAAATCAGAGTCTAATCAATCAAGCTTGACTCCTGGTGACTTATGGACACATCCACATGTTTTCCCGACAACAGGATAAAAATATTTTGCCTTTGCTTTTTTTTTTTAGGATGTTTTTAAAATTACCCAGCCTAGCCTATAGCCCTCAGATTTCCCAGTAACATCCCTTCCATATATGAAGACTGTTTAACCCTACTTAGCTATTTTGAGTTTAACCATGATTGGCCAACTGCTACCCTTGCCATATAAGCAGTTAAGTAACAATACACAAATGTCCACCTATTTGGTGTGGACAATTAAGCAAAATATTAAATTTAAATAAAAGTTTCTACAAGCTAAATACATTTTCAGAGTGGGAAAAATCATCTAAAAAGGGTGAAGAGGGAAAAGTACTAAAAATCGTGTTGTTATATCACTGCCTGCCTTCTGGAGTCATTGATAATGCAAGAAGAGGAAGAGGAGGAGGAGGAGGAGAAGAAAGGAGAAGATGACATGACATCAGTAAAATAAGATTTATAGTTCACTTATAGAACTTGTCATTCAGCAAGATAGACCTCATTGTTACAGGATCTCATCTAACAGAGTGTTAAATTGCATCAGTGAAACTGGCAGGGATTACCCTATTCCTGCTGCAGCCCTAGAAGAATTCTCAGAATATCTTCTAACGCAGGGGTCTCCAACCTTGCAACTTTATGACTTGTGGCTGAGGAACTCTGGGAGTCCACAAGTCATAAAATTGCCAAGGTTGGAGGCCCCTGTTCTAGTGCATCATCCAACAATCTGAAAGGCATTTGAGAAATGATTTGGGAACTACATTGGGAAGATAAGAAGAATTTGCATCATTAGAAGTCTAATAATGTGATCTTGGATTTCATACTCCTAAGAAAAGTGTGGCATTTGGTTTAGGTGGCTTCACTTAGCAAGACTAGTTTGAAATTAAAATGGGATATAGCAGGGGAAATAAATTTTGCACATGAAATTCCCTATAGCAATAGCACTTAGACATATATTGCTTTGCAGTGCTTTAAAGCCCTCTCTAAGTGGTTAACCGAGTCAGCATATTGTCTCCAACAATTGGGGTCCTCATTTTACCCACTTTGGAAGGATGGAAGGCTGAGTCAACCTTGAGCCTGGTGAGACTTGAACTGCCAAATTGCAGGCAGCCAGCAGTCAGCAGCAGTAGCCTGCAGTACTGCACTCTAACCACTGTGCCACCATGGCTCATGAAATGGTCTATTCTATAGCACAGAGTGCAGCTGGATTAGTTTTTATCCAAAATAAGACAGGTAGGATTAATCAACAAAGGGAGCATCCCAGTTACAATTAGTTCTCTATCACCAATTGGCTATCTAGCTTAGTGATTATTCACAGCTACAACAGTGATAAAGAAGTAATGTGATCAAACCTCACATTTATGACCATCACAGGTCTGTAAAAGAAAGGAAAGTCAAAATAAGATCATAAGCACAGACAGTGTTTTACTTAGCAACTTCTTTGCTTAACAACCGAGTTGATCGTTCCAATTATGATCCCTAAATCAGGATTACTTGTAGTGATTTACAGCAGTGGCCCCCAACCTTTTTTGTGCCACGGCCCGGTACCGGCATCACAAAATGATCCACGGCCTGGTACCAGCATCAGCACGCATGAACAAGGCAAGGCGAGCCGAGCGACCGGCCAGCCAGCCGTCCCCCGCTTCTCCCCGCCACCTTCAACTCCTCCTTTGTACCTTTTTTGTGCTTTCTTAATCTCCTCCGCTATCGGGACGGCTCTTCGTTCAAAGCCGCCCCCCCCTTCGATGAAACTAAGGCACGAGGATTCCTTCAGGACCCAAACGCCGCTTTCAAACCAAAAAAGCTCACCCGGAAGCACTTTCTCGTCGAAACAAGATGGCGGTGCCCAGCAAACCGGCGGCCCGGTAGAAAATGAGCCACGGACCAGTACCGGTCTGGGGCCCGGTGGTTGGGGACCCCTGATTTACAGTATATTCAAGATAATACAGTACATATATTATCCAACCATCACTGAGCCTGACTTGAGTACTGTTATAACAGTATATCAGCACAAGATTTACGGTATAACTCTAGAAAAATCCTTATGTCAGCGTTCCAGCAAACCTCCATTCCAATCAGTAACTCCGAGACAAGCATATCTCAGAAGTACCTTTATTAGAAGAGCACCTGGTACATCTGTGGAATCCCGAATCTAAAAATTTTCGGGCTTTCCACAATTTCCCAAACTACAAATCCATCCCCCCTTGGTTGTCATCACACTACATGGCTCAATCACGATCCGTCCAAAAGTAAGATCCTTATTTCATCCTGCGCCATACTAAATGACCTTGAACTAACAAAAGAATTTTATTTTGTCTACTTAGAGCAACTTAATTGAAATCACCCCCCCTCCCACTTTCTCAGGCTATGTGGCAGCGTGGAATATGGCTTCCAAAGCTGACACCCTACTGGCTCCTAAAATTATCCTTGTGGATCCATCTTCATCCATCTGCAAGCCTAGAGCCCAATATATGAAGACCAGGGCAGCTGAAAGATGCTTAGAGCAATTTTGTTCCATTTTTCAAATTGTCACTTTGACTCACTCTAAGAAACGGGTGATGTATTCCTTGCTGCATCGTGACCAGGTGAGAGGTGTGGGATCATACTGGAGCTGCCGAGACATAATGTATGGCCGTCTTCCCACTGGTTCACAGTCATTTTCTTTTCCATCGTGCTGGATGCCAAAACTGAAGGAAAGGAAACCCAAGGAATTAAAAAAAAATATATGTCACAACAGAGTTCTGCCATGGAAGCTTATGAGGATAGGGCAGCTGATTTATTTATTTAATTTATTTGCCACCTACGGGCAATTCTCTTAAGCTGATCCTAAATAACCTAAAGAAAGAATAGCCTGTTGCAAGTCATTGGATGTTGCAATTCATTTAGGTGTCCTCTTTGACATCCTGTTTGCATTTTTAGAAAAAAAATAATACTTGAATTTCACAGAACGGATGAAGAGAGTTCTGTAAACAGTAAAGGTTGGTTTTAATATAGTTTGGTTACCATTAACAGATTACATTGAAGGCAATTCATAATAGCAAACAGTTTCTAAATTAAAAAGTGGGACGTGTAAATATTGGAACGATTCAAAGAACCTCCTAAACATCCTTTAAGGATGATACAGCACTAAAAAAAGACTGATTTTTTTATTTATAAGGGTACAAAGGGAACATATTTATAAGGATACAAAGGGAACATCACTATAATCCTGGTGGTACTGTATGAAATAAAAGCTGTATTTCCTACACTTTAATTGTCAATAATGCTAAATAATGCTATTAAAGGTAAGTTTATTTCATAGAGAATCAGGGCTGGGAGGGACCTTAGAAGTCTTCTAGTCCAACTGCCTGCCCAAGGCAGGAATCCTTATACTATCCTAGGCAAATGGTTGTCCAATCTTGAAAATCTCCAGCAATGGAACAACCACAACTCCAGAGACAAGCTGTTCTACTGATTAATCATCTTTCAGGAAATTCCTCCTTATTTCCAGGTTGAATCTCCCTCTGACAAGCTTCCACCAGGGGTGGGATTCTACCAGTTCACACCTATTCGCTAGAACCGGTTGTTAACATTCTAAGCAGTTCGGAGAACCGGTTGTTAGAAGAAATTACTGGCCTAATCCTGTAAGGAAGGCAGGAAGGAAACATTCTGGTGTTGCTTACAGAAACTGCCTCTCCCTTATTACATTCTTGACAGGACTAGACTTCCTGTCTCAGGAACTTCTTGGGAGTTTTTCCCCCCTCCTTTGCTGGCCCTTTGCTTGTGTGGAGTGACCATTCAAAGTTACAATGGCACTGAAAAGAGAGACTTATGACCATTTTTCACACTTATGACTGTTGCAGCATCCCCACAGTCATGAGAGGCCAGGCAAGGAGATGCGTCCCTCGATGTGAGTGATATTGAGTTGGCCACACCCAGCTAATAACATGACCACCAAGCCATGTCCACCTAGTTACATGAACACCAAGCCATGTCCACCTAGTTACATGAACACCAAGCCATGCCCACCATCTAAGCCACGCCCACAGAACAGGTTGTTAAAATTTTTGAATCCCACCCCTGGCTTCCACCCACTGCTTCTTGTTCTGCCTTCAGGAGCTAGGGAGAATAAATTGACGCCCTCTTTCCTATGACAACCCTTCAAGTATTAGGGACAGGTATCATGTCTCCCTTGAGCTTTCTCTTCATTAAGCTAAACATACCTAGTTTCCTTAGCTGTTCATCGTATGATTTAGCCTCTAGTTAAGTTTTGCTCATTTGCACATTCTTAACTCCCTTTCCCAAGCAACCACTGTGACCAAATGGAATTGTTTTCTTCCAGAGAACATTTTCTTGTGGTTAAGCCAGATGCAGCTATCTAAGAGATGAACTCCTAAGATCGGTCTCGCCCATGTTGACAAGGCAAATGTGATGATCCAGAGTGTAATACAAATGTAACAAACTCCAAAACATAAATAAATGTCCTTTAATGTCTCCAACTTGGCCCCACTGTTCAATAATTCTCAGTTGGAGATAAAACACATTCAAAAATATCTTCAAAAGAAAGCCATACAGTCCGAACTTAATGAGCAGATAGAGGTGAAATAAAAACCTAAAGCAAACTACAATGAAGGAAATTCCACAACGGACCAGGATAAGTAATTACCAACTTCAAGGAGATAACAAGGCACAGTCTGTTGGAAGGATGCCAACCAAGATAACTTCAGCCCAAAATAACACACACTTTGCTTCTGGCAACATTGTGCTTTAATCATCTCTCTTATATACTATTCTCCCCAGCTGCAACCCAAGAGGGGGATCATGGCCGCTTCCTCTCTCGTAAGCCAAGTTGTTTCCTTCTCCGTTCCTCCCTGCGTGTCCTAGGATGCAGAGGGGATGGGCCTGGTTCTTCCTCTGACTGCCCAGCCAGCCTCTGCCCTTCCCCAGCCTCCTCCACAACCTCCAGAGCCACACCTCCACTCCCTGTCGGCTGTTCCTCTCAGAGTCTGACTCTAACAAGGGCATAACAGCAAGCCACTTGTGTATAAACAGAGAGCAGACTCCACTCCCTTTCTAGCTGATGTTTCTCTAACTGGGTAATGCAAGAAAACAACCAAGCCAGGAAAACAACAAGGATCCCATTAACACCTCCAATCAAGACCTCCAATATGTTTAAAGTTCAAAGTGGAAATATATAGGTACGGGTAGTGGGTTAGCAGTTGAAGAAACAAATGGAAGGGAAATGAAGAATGCATAACATTTTTTACTAATTATCTTCTACTTTGTTTTGTGTATTTTTTAGTCTTAAGCAATTTCTGCCTGAAGAACTTTAAAAAAATCTATTTAATTGTGCCGCACGTCCACAAAACTTCCAATTTATTCCTACCTGTGTCCAAGTTCATGGGCTATCGTGAAGGCCAAAGGTAGGCCAGAGTCTTCATTGATGTTACAGCTCCGATGGGGTTGACACATTCCCGAAAGGTGGGATAAGCCTAAGGTTTCACAGGGATGATTCACGCTGGCACAAATGTCTTTTCTGTGACCACAGTGAAAAAGCTTGATGTTAAAAAAACAAAAACAAAACCCTGCATATTCAAGGTAATCCCACACTCAGGACACAGGGCCACTGTTTTTAGTGCTCTTAATTCTAAGAAAATGTACATAAAGTGGATGATGCAAACATCACTTTTGGGGATCTACCGAGATCATATTTCAGCAGAGATCTAGAGGTTCAACCTCCAGAGTTCCTGGCTTTGCATTTCCTCCTTTTTGTAACCACATTCTTTTTATGTGTCCCCTAAATAATAGAAACAAGGAGAAAGAGCCATGAAAAAAATTGTTAATAATAATCTCATAGAATATAAAATTTCATGTGAACAACAGAATAACAGAGTTGGAAGGAACCTTAGGGGTTTTCTAGTCCAACCTTCTGCTCAAGCAGGAAACCCTACACCATTTCAGACAAATGGTTGTCCAATCTCTTCTTCCAAACCTCCAGTGATGGAGCATCCACAACTTCTGGAGGCAAGTTGTTCCACTGATTAATTGTTCTAACTGTCAGGAAATTTCTCCTTCTCTCCTTGATTAGTTTCCATCTATGGCTTCTTGGATGGAAACACATATTTTACCAGTCTGTGGAACAACAACTGAAGTCATCTATTACAACACTTTATTTCTTGGTTCTCTCCTTGATTAGTTGCCCCAAATGAACATTTTTAAACAAATGTCCTTCTGAGTCTTTCACAGCATCTCCCCCTCCAATCAGTGTTTTCTATGGTCTAACAACATTTTTATTCTCATTCTATGTACTCCTTACCATAAGCTGTGTTGAGAAACTTTCCTAAATTAGAAATGAGGCATTGTAGCAAATGGAATCATCTTTTTACAAAATGCAAAGTGAGTCATAGATTTCAGGCCATCATAGCAGTATTCAAAAGTGTGCAATTATTGTTAACAAGCACTGTTGTGGGAAAAGTCACAAGCAAGACAGCCGCTGTGATTACTGTAGCCAAACAACTCTGATAATTAAGAACCAAAAATATTTGCTTCTGTATTTATCCATCTGGGAAAGAGTTTTGAAGGACGGGGGTTGTTTTCCAAAAACATTTCTCCTTCATTTTATGTTCTTTAATAGATTAGGCTCTGATTTGTTAAGATTTTTGAAAATAAATTGATGCAAAGTTAGGCTCTGATTTGTTAAGATTTTTTAATATAAATCGATGCAAAGTTAGGCAGTATGATCCAGAAATTTTGGATAACAGTCCCCATATTAACTATTAATAGCTAATACTTACAGATAATTAGGGTTGGCTAAAGCATTGTCAGGCTTTACCAGAGGCACGAGTATAAATCTTCACCACAAATCCTGCATAATCTCTTACCTAGGAACTGGTTTTACTCTGAGGTAATTTTACAGCCTTGACCATGCTAAGTTTCTTTATTGCTGACAAGGTCAGGCAATACATCTGGCTGCAGCAATACAAAACAATCTAAGCTTATATCAGGGGTCTTCAAACATGACAGCTTTAAGACTTGTGGACTTCAACTCTCAGAATTCCTCCTCCAGTCATGTTAGCTCAGGAATTCTGGGAGTTGAAGTCCACAAGTCTTAAACTTGCCAAGTTTGAAGACCCTTGTTATATATAGTTCTATGCATGGGTGTTGAAAACTTGGGGTTTCCTCCCCCACCCCCCAGCCACACACACACCTTTCTAGGTAAATGGATGTTTGGGAAACTGCCAATCAGATGGATGGGTAGGTGGGTGGGTGGGTGGATGGATGGATGGATGAATTACATTTGCACAGCGTGCGCCTCCCTCCATCTTATATCAACCTCTGTGTTTATAACCATGTCACCAATAAAGTGACACATGTATAATAAGAACAAATGAAACCAATATACTACAAAGATAGAAAAACCACAGCCACATTTCCCTCATGCAACCCCCACATTCTCTTCCATCCTAACATCACCCTGTCCCAAAGCTTGGCAGGGGGAGGAATTTGTCACCCAAATGGGTGGATAAGCAGTCATCGCTACCAGAAGATAAGAGATTAAAGTATTAAAGAGAAGAGAGTAAAGAGAAGAGATTAAAGCAGGTATAATAGGGATTGTTTTATACCTGATGGTAATGATGTGGCAATATGCCAGATGGAGTTTTGGTAGGTTAGTGCTCAGCAAAGTAATGACAGCTAGAGAATAATGAATTCAAACAAGCAAATACTGAGAGAAAGTTAGGGAGAAAAACTGAAGGGTAAGAGTTATTTGACAGTGAATTAATGTGCTGGAGAAACAACAAGTTCTCGGTTACTGAATGAATTCAAGCAGAAGCTGTTGGGAGTTGCTGTAATTTACATTCCTGAATTGAGCTGAAGGTGGGATTGAGTCAAGGGTGGGATTCAAAATTTTTAACAACCAGTTCTGTGGGCGTGGCTTAGGTGGTGGGCATGGCTTGGCAGTCATGTGACTGGGTGGACATGGCTTGGTGGTCATGTTATTGGCTGGGTGTGGCCAACTCAATATCACTCACATCGAGGCACATATCTCCTTGCCTGGCCTCTTATGACTGTGGGGATGCTGCAACAGTCATAAGTGTGAAAAATGGTCATAAGTCACTTTTTTCAGTCCCTTTGTAACTTTGAATGGTCACTCCACACAAGCAAAGTACCAGCAAAGGAGGAAAAAAACTTCCAGAGAAGTTCCTGAGACAGGAAGTCTAGTCCTGCCAAGAATGTAATAAGGGTTAATGGAAAGGCAGTTTCTGTAAGCAACACCAGAATGTTTCCTTCCTGCCTTCCTTACAGGATTAGGCCAGTAATTTCTTCTAACAACCGGTTCTCTGAACTGCTTAGAATGTTAACAACCGGTTCTAGAGAATAGGTGTGAACTGGTAGAATCCCACCCCTGCATTGGGTATCCTAAAGGTGTCCTTCCTACTCTTTTGATTTAAGAGAGGATAAGAGTGAACAATACTGGAATGTTATGGGAAGGAGGATCAAGACAGAATTAGAAGAAAAGAGCCATAAAAAAATACATAGAGTCTGGTATGGTACATCAGGGCTCTATTTCTTTCTCACCAATATAGCATAACCAGAGGTGGGCTGCTGCCGGTTCAGATCGGTTCGCCCGTATCGGTAGTTCCGACCACCACCTGGGCCTGCCCACCCACCCAGGTGCTATCCCATCCTACATATCTCACTCTCTGGCTTGCTCGCCCTGCCCACTCAGCCCAGCTGATTTGCACGCATCGCCCGTTCTATTCACCACGACTGCCTGAGAAGGTGTGCTGGAAGCCACATGCATGAAATCACCATGTGTTTGAAGCCACGTGCAAGGGTGGAAGGCTCACATTTTCAATTCTGCACTCGGCGAACCGGTTATTAAATTATGTGAAACCCACCTCTGAGTATAACACCAGAGACATGTACAGTGTCATATTACAATCTTTCTAGTGATCGTAAAGGAGAACAGTGTGCTTCCCTCTGCTGCAAATGTATGCGTAAACAATTGAGGGAGTCTCAATAGAAGGGCACAGCAAAGACTACCTCATAAGTTCAAAAAAGAGGTGACATTCAAAGACAACTTTTTGATGTACAGATCTTTGTAATTAAGCCACACACACTCATAATTGAAAGTAAGAAGGGAATAAAGACATTTTAGGATAAGAATGGGAAAAAGTGCCTGCCCAGAACCACAATAGTTCCAGCCGCAATAGTCATGGTGAAGGATACTAGAGGTTCTAATTCGGATGATCAAATGAAGTTTACCAGAAGATGCAGGCTGTCTGCTTCTTTTGGTATTCATTTGATCATTTGTATATTTGGAAGCAAAGAATTGGTAAATTTCTCCTCAGTTACCTATTTGTGCACAGTTCTTGGCTCAAGTAAGGCAAAATACATAAAAGTATATGAGGTAAAATGTTAAATAGTCCATAAAACTCTTTTCAACTAATCCTATTGAGAAATCCAGCCTTTTCTACTTCTGTTTCTTCTAAAAAGCTAAAAATGAAACTATTTCCCCAAACTCTAATAAATACAGGTAGTCGTCAACATACAACCATTTGTTTAGCAACTTATAATGACACTGAAAAAAAAGTGACTTGCAACTGGTCCTCACGCTTATGACTCTTGCGGCATCTCCACAGACATATGATAAAAACCCAGGCGCTTGACAAACTGCCATGTATTTATGAAGTTTTCAGCATATGATTGTCATTTGTAACCTTCACAACTGGCTTCTGACAAGCAGAGTCAATGTGGGAAGCTGGATTCGCTTAACGTGAATTCACTTACAACTGCAGTGATTTGCTTAATAATTACGGCAAATGGGTCGTAAAAATGGGTGCGACTTATATAACAACTGCTTTGCTTAGCAACAGAAATTCTGGTTTAATTTCTGCTGTTGCAAATCAAGGACTACCCATACCTTATTCAGAAATAGAGCAAGAACCCCGTACATAAGGAGATTCTTACCTACCTGGTAAGAAGTACAGCTACATCGTGGTGAAGTGGGTTTGTATCCAATTTTGGGTTGATGCTCTTTTGCCATTTACAAAAGCTGGCTAAAGTTTTATCTGCATGGTGGGTGATTTTCAGTCCTTGCTATAAAAAGTTGGGGAAATGAATTATCTTGTCAGAAGACTATCAGTATATGCAATAATTACAAAGCCTGGTAAATTAATTTAGTTTTAATAAATATTGCCATTTCATAAAGTGAGAGAGATTATTATAATAGAAATTTATTGAATCCTGACATGTGATTAAAAATGGTTTATTAGCGAAGATAGATCAGGGGAGGAAAAAAACACAGTACAATAGGAAAATGGGGAAGTCTTCATGGGATGAAAAGAACATAAAAAGAAACTGCAATATCTTTCTTAAATTAAAACATCATTTTTTTCTAATGTGAAACAAATGTTATCCCTAAAACAAAGGATATGTGAAGCATAATGATAAATTTATAACATTTTATCTTATTTGAAAGCACACATATTGGAATTAATATTAACTCTTCTTCTACAGAGTGCATCTCTGAAGAGGAAAAATAAAAGGTTGGATTCTTTGTAAAAGTTGATAGAGTAGATCCCAAATCAATCATATACCAATTGCATCCATTTCTGGAACCGGAGGCCCAACTCATGGTCATCCATGCCCTACTTCTCTGTTGCAATACTTGCTCTGTGGAATATCATGCCCTGTGAAGTTCCAATAGTAAGAACCCTTCTGTTCTTTTGCAAGACCCTAAAAACTCATTCTTTCCTTCAAGCATCTCCCTTCAATGATATGACCAATGCAAGGATTAACCAGGAGACCAAGTTCTTACCTCCTCTTCTTCAAGAAGAATAAGTCGAACAAGCACAATATGGATTGCGTTGCCAATGCTTGGATCATGGAATAATCCTGCAACCTAAATCAAAGCCAGGCAATATGAAGTTCATGGATTCTTTAATATTTTTTTCCTATTAGGGATGATGTCAAGGGTCTCTGTGGAGGAGTGTCAAAGAAGTCAAGATGACAGCCACAATCCTACTATTGAAACTCCATCTTTTTTTAATGTACTTTGATTGCATGGTTGTGGCCAACATCTTGACTTTTTTGGACACATGTTCCTCAGTCCCATGAACACTGTCGGTCAACATCAAAGTATCTGGTAGTTAACAAAATATAGTTCCTTTCTCCAAAGATCTTACAAGCTAAATATGGCTGGGGAAAGAAGAAGAAACAAAAGGAAGAGGAAGAGATTCTGAGATGCCAAATGGGAATTTTTGGAACATATAATAACTGAAGGTGGGAGGGGGAAGGGCAAATTAAACAAAATGAAAAAAAAACCAAACTGATACAGAGTTTATTTTGGTTGCTATGGATAAGGATTTAGTTGCTTAGATAAACTGGAAGTGTTGCTGCTTTTGCTAAAATATTTTGAGTCAAGTTTTACACATTCCCCCCCTCTATATTTGGCATATTTATTCAGGCATATTTAGCATAAAGAACTATGCTTTCACAAAAGCATCATTCTATTTTTAAGATGACAGGAGAAAATAATTAAATATAGGGGATAATCACATTTATTGAATTGAATTGAATAGAATCAATATCAAATCCACCCCAATAGAAACAAATTATGTGACCCACCATATTTATGATCGTGAGGATATAGGATTCCACATTTTCGCTTCCGTGGTATTCAATCATTTTACTATCAGCAACTACCAAAGTCTCTACCCATCTTTCTCTACTGACAGAACGCCGGAAGGTTGTTCTTGGTGTCACATGGTTCCTTTCCCACTTTATCCTTCGAAGTTCTTGCTGTTTGAAAAAGTTTGATGTTTCTGAAACAAAAAAAATCAAATAGTGTTGAATGTACTTTCTATGAAGGTAGCATAAATAACAGATTTCTCTTTCTCACAGGCTCATAACGTTACATGGATTAGTTTGGTCAAAAGTCTACTTCAAGACACGGGGAATAACCAGAATAACATGTCTCAAGAATCGGTGCAGTAGTTCTAGGCCTCAGAACTTTGTCAAGGCCAGACCCATCATCCCTGACCTAGACTCACAAGACTCTAATCCAGAACCAGGTGCTTCTTCCATCCAGTCCTTTGGAATATCTTCATGTTGTCAGAAGTTTGTCTTTGGTGGCACTAACTCTTCAACATCACAAAAATTATTGATCAGAAAGGCTAACTGGATGTAGATAGAAAATGAAGGATTTATTTTTATATCCTCCCTTTTTCTGTCATTCTTCCTGCTGCTTGTCTATGATCATTTTTTTTCCTGCTCTTTGTTTCCAGGCAACCAGAAATTTTGCTCTCTGGCCTTTCTCTAGGTAGTTAACTAGGAAGTCATACCTTTCACACATCCCTTTCACACACAGGAAAAGAGCATTTTCATTGGAAAAGAGGAAAAGAGCATTGGCATTGCTGAGATTCTCTATTTCTCTCTTTCTCCTTCATTTACAGAGATGAAGACCTCTGTAGATGAAGGAGAAAGAGAGAAATAGAGAATCTCAGCAATGCCACAAGGCAACTGAGGCATGCAGGATTACTTGAGAGAAAATAAGCTTGATCAGAGCAACTGTATTTTCTCTGAGCTTATAAAATTTAGAAAGCAAATATGCCCAGCAAAGCTGCTGGAACAATTTCCCTTTAAAAAAAAAACACTTTGTAATAAACATAAAGTGATGTTCACTTTGTATTCTTCAAGATAATAGCAAAAAATAGAAAAGCAAAATACTGAAATAAAATAAAAATAAATTATAATAAACCATCTTCAAAGAATAACTTTTGACAGCTTTCTTTTTCCTTCCCTGATCTCTTTTGTTAATCACTACTTAGGAATTTGTTCTTTTCTTGAAATATGAGAGATTGTTGGTTATGTTTTTCTAAACAGTTTATTTTATTTCTAATTTCTTAACTTTTCCCCCCTAAAAATCATATCTCAAATTTCTAAGGCTGCCTTGTTTCGTGATATACTGTACACAAGGGTGTCATTTCTGCTTGAATTTAATTAAACTTTTAATATGAGTATATGTAGTTTTGCCATTACTGGGTATTGTATACTACATGGGTCAGAAAAAGGACTGAGAAAATATCTACAGACCTGTGGTAATATATTTTATTAATCATTTTATCATTTTCTGTAAGGCCT